TAGACCTGGTGGACACACATCTTAACTTTCTTAGGGAGACAGGAGTAAGAGGTCTCTAAAGCACAGAGATGGTTTGAGTGATGTGGACCAGTTCCAGAGACAGTCCAGGCTTCTAGCCTTTCCTCCAGGGACACTGAGAAAAATGAATCCAGACACAATACCGTAAAGATGTGCACACAAATGCACCTTCGGCCCAGCCTTGGGATTGCCGTTTCCTCCATTCATCAGGTTCGTTTCTAGTCCTTCGGAAACATCCCTGACTCTCGGTGCCAGGATGGCACTGGCCATAAGGTGGTGGTGATTTCTCTCTCAGACCCCCTGGTGGCTATAACAGGCACTAACTCTGCTTTCTTGCCTCTGTTAAAGACTCTAGCTTTGACCCCAAGAAAGTGAAGCGGTGCCAGGATGGCACTGGCCATAAGGTGGTGGTGATTTCTCTCTCAGGCCCCCTGGTGGCTATAACAGGCACTAACTCCGCTTTCTTGCCTCTGTTAAAGACTCTAGCTTTGACCCCAAGAAAGTGAAGTCATGGTCAGGACTCCCACCGCCATTCTGGTGAGAATGCCCCTCCCATGCTCACGCCAGCCAACGTGACTGGGCCATCATCATCCCTGATTGTCGATGACCCCAGCCGTCACCTGTCGCTGAGCCTCTGACTGAACAGGCTAAATCGAATCCAACTCTGCTCAAGGAGTGTCCCTTCCGTCATGTCTCACAGCTGACCCACTGTCTCCTCTTCTCCCTTTTCAGCCTTTCAATTTTACTTTTTAAGAAAAGATTTTATTCTATGTGAATGAGTGTTTGGCTTTCGTGCCTGGTGTCCCATGTGGCAAAGCCAAAAGAGGGTGTGAGAATCTGGAACTGGAGCTGTGGAGGATTGTGACACACACTGAGTGAGTGCTGGGAACCGAACAGGACCCTCTACAGTCTGCAAGAGCGGCAAGTGCTCTCAACGGCCGAGCCACCTATTCTGTGTCCTGTATTTCTACCATGTGGGTCCCACGCTCAAACCCAAGTCATCAGGCACCCACTGAGCAGTCTTGCCAGCCCTTTAATCTCTCATGGCTGCCCATCACATTCTTTGTAAAATCTCCACGCTATCAATAGCCACCTCTCCCTTTTTTTCTCACTTCATATTTTAAAAATGTATCAGTCAGGCATGGTGGTGCGCACCTGTAACCCCAGCACCTGGGAAGCAGAGACCGGAGGACCTCTAAGTCCAAGTCAGCCTGGTGTACATAGCAAACTCCATTCTAGCCAGGGCTACACAGTAAGGCCTGTCTCAACCAACCAACCGTCTGATGGGTGTGTTAGTCTTCAAAGAAAAGCATTTTGGCTTTCTTAGTGTAACTAAGTTGCAGAGCATCTGTCTTGTGTGTGAAGGGTTTGGGTGGGGCCCAGTGCCTCCCCACCCCACACCCACAGTCCTGTTTGATGGATACAAAGATTCCCTATAAATATATGTATCTATAAAACATAAATATCCTAAGCACATATATAAACATGCTAAAGCCTGGGCAGATTTGATCGTCGCTGTTCAGTTTGCCTAACATATAGGTTTCTATAGAGTGTTACATTACATTGCAAAGCATTTCTCTCTACCTGTGGCAGCCACCATCGCTCTGGAGTTTTGAACATCTAACTGGCTATATATGTGTAGGTGTGCCTTTTGCATGAGTGTATATAGACAGCCACAATGCTTTGCACCTTCACAACAGTAAAACTCCTTTCCTGGGTGCTCAAGAGATGGCTCGGAGGTTAAGAGCAATATTGCTTTTCTGGAGGACCTGCATTCAATTATTACCTGCATCAGGCAGCTCACACCCTGCAACTCCAGCCCCATGATCTGTTGCCTCTGGTCTCCACAGGCAGCCCCACTTTTTAAAAAAGTGTTTTTAAAACCTCCTTCAGCTCTTCTTGTTATGGTTTCTACCCTCCAGCTGTGTCTTACAGGCTAGATCCTATGTCTTTATTTTTTGTTTAATTACATTTATCAGGGGGTTATAGATGTGGAGGTCAAAGTACAACCTGCAGAAGTCACTAATCCCCTTCCACCGTGTGGGACACAAACTCAGGTTGTCAGGCTTGGAAGCAAGAACCTTAACCACTGAAACCCCTTGGCCAGCTAAGATCATATGACTTTTTAATGGAGCCAGGACCTTTGCCTGCTTAGGTCCTGTTAGCCAGCCCTTCTCTTCCCTATTTCGCCCTCCCTTTCTGCCCCTGGGTAGACCCCAGTCCTCAGGAGAGCTGACAACACACCACTCCATCAACCTCCTGTGCTGGCTGCAGCTGCTGCCTCCCCGCCTGTCACTCACAGGCCCAGTGGCGCCCAATCTTAACTTCCCTCCGACCTCCCCCATGGCGAACCAGTCTGGGGCTGGTCTGGGGATTAGAAGACCAGCATCAGTTCTCTTCATGATGGCAATGTAAGAACTGTGCTGTGTGGTCTCCCATGGCTCCCTTCTGAGCTCCTCCCAGGGATATTTCCAAATCAGGGTGAACCTGTGGGCATGGCAATAGTTTAGCTGGATATAAAATCTAGGTTATTTTTCAGTACCAATGACAGAACATCACCACTTTCTGGCTGCCAGTTTTTCCCTTGTAGAGTTTCTGTCTGTCTGATTCTTAATCCTTTCTCCCTCTGGGCACTTTAGAATTCCCACACTGCCTGCAAGCTGTTCCCCACTCCTACTCTGTCCCTCCTTCCTCTACTTAAGTGTGTGTACAGTGGCTCCCACTCTTGCCTATCCCACTGGAGCCCTTATAGTGTCCCTGAGGTTTCAGCTGCCCTGGCTGCTGTGGGGGACAGGGACGAGGTGGCCACTACCTAGATCCAAAGCAAAGGGCTACTCTGGGTGGGAGCAGAGTCTCAGGTCTAAGTCCAGCCCCTCCCCCAATTTTTGCTGTCCTGGGGCCTTTTCCCCACTCCTCCTGCAGCTCTGCTCTGGGCTACACCTGTGGCACCAGTCTCAATCCTGTGATGCAGCCTGTCCCTCCCCCTGTTGAGGCAGGGGTGGGCTGTTTGGGTTAAGCATGGATTCCCTTCCACATGAGCCCTGCCCTGCTCAGACATTCTTCCTACAGGATGCCACTTTCCAGGTCTCTGGAGGTGTCTTAGGCACCAGT